GAGAGCTGGAAATTAAATATTTTCTATCATTTAAGTCATCAATTGCATTTATACCTTTATATATACAGTCTATGATTTATACACAGTATCATACACATTAGGTATTCATGCAGTGGCCTGTAGAGAGTGCTGATTATCCATCTAATTTCTTAACCCCCTTTAGGGTCTAGACCTAGAGGACTGGAGAATATCCCAGCATGCACTGGAAAATAAGCAAGGTGTACATTGGAGAGAATGGAAAACACAAACCCCATCACACTCCTAACAGCCAAAGTCGGAGTAATTAGGAGTTTAATATAATCAAACCTGCCTGTGCTTGGTTCGTGGGAGTACAAAAGAGCATCACATACACATCTTGAACATGCAAACTCTGCATGGTAAAAATAAAAATGGTTTTGGGATTCAAATAGTCTCTGAGTCACTTTGACTCTCTTCTCAACATGTAATGAACTGGAATGAAGATCAGGTTCCATACATAAAATAGGCTGGTAGTGTTCCCTCATCCATCTGTGTTTCCTGTTATCTTAACCTCAACCAAACCATAGCCTAACCAGTGGTTCCCAAACTTTTTCAGTCGGGCCCCCCTTGGGTAATTAGAAATATTTTCAGGACCCCCCCAACCCGGTTCCCATCTATATTGGTAGGATTAATTGTATATTGTTGTAAAAACATTACATTTTCTCTGCTAATAATAAGAAGATACAAAGATACAACTACAATTTTATATTTTATTATGGATTACACATGAACAAAAGTGCTTGTAATAGATAGGCCTACTGTGAATTAATTTGGCCTAATTAAAACTGGTTGGCCTTCTTCCCTGAGTAGTAGATTTTTAAATTCGAATTTCTTTAAGGAAAATGTATTAATTAACTACTATTTCTACTGCAGGTTGCAAACGATCACATCACTTTACCATTCCTATTCCACACATAGCTCATCAATTAAGTAATTGATGAGCTATGTGTGGAATAGGAATGGTAAAGTGATGTGATCGTTTGCAACCTGCAGTAGAAATAGTAGTTAATTAATACATTTTCCTTAAAGAAANGTTGGGCTATAAAGGAACTACAGCACGGTCACATGACTTCACGTCACCACCGCTAAGCTAAAGGTGGCTAATGTTGGGCTATAAAGGAACTACAGCACGGTCACATGACTTCACGTCACCACCGCTAAGCTAAAGGAGGCTAATGTTGGGCTAAAAAGGAACTACAGCACGGTCACATGAAAGTTGTTAAAAGTAGCTCCACCTGTAGCACGTACAATAACATGTTGCATACTTGCATATTTGTTTTAACTACAGTAAAATACTTACAGTACATTACTTCATTAGGAGTCCTTTGACTTCAGTAAAGGGCCTGAATACTTCTCCCACCACTGCTTCTTCCATATCGTCCGTGATTTCTCTCTTTTCTGCGGGTATTCAACATGAAATGAGCCCCCCACTTGGAAACGTTTTGAGGTCTTAAATCTTTCATTGTGCCCAGCTCTCTGACTTGTGTTTTTTTCACGGGCCTCTGTAATCAGAATCAGAATCGAGTTTATTGCCAGCTACGTTCACTCATACAAGGAATACCCATATCATTCATCTGGCTGCTACTTAGAAATTATTTATCTAATATATCATATTCCAATCACTTGTATATAGGCTCTTATTGCACTATTTCACTTTTTTTCTTTTTGTATTTACCTGCACTATTTTGTTCTGTTTTTCTGTTTTATTGTGTTGCACTGTTGGAGGAGCCTTCGACCTAAGATTTTCATCGACATAACTACACTGTAGCTATGTACGTACAATAAAAGCCTTGAATCATCTCTCTCAACAAACACCTTGTCAGAATCAATAAGGTCACATCTGTATCCATGTTGCTTATCTTCCCTTTCGTTTTCTGCAGCTGCAAGTCAGCTCTAAAGAGACTCTCCTCTGTATGGAGCAGCAACTCAAAGATAACCACGCTCTCGGTTCACAGAGAACTGTTTTTCCCCTTTCATTTCAGCCACTTTGCCATATTTTGGGGACTCCAGCGGAGGAGGGAGTACTAAAGTTGTCTGAATATCAATCTAATGTGTCCCTGTAAAGCAAAGAGGATGGAAGTGAGTTGAGTAATTACAGCAGTGGAAATTACAGTAATTACCGTCGCTACATCTTTCTTGTTCTGTGTGGCATCCTCCTGCTGATTCTGATGTGAACAAGTTAGCACGTCTATCTGTATGTGGGAGTACGTGAGACAAGTTCCATAGATTGCAGCTCAATCCTCCCTGAATGTACTTTGGTGATTCTGTGGAGTGAATGCTTTAATCTACTCTGCCTTTGTCTACTCTCTCAGTTTCCGTGGTTTTGTACTTTTGGTGAGTTTGCCTTCAAGTCACTGACTCACATTTATACGTCTATGCTTTTCATGTTTTGCCCAAATGTTTCTTCTTTAGTTCTAAATGAAGCGGGGGTAAAAAGAAAAAGGATTAATCAAACATTTAGTAACAGTTGTCAGCTTGCCGGATGTTTGCGCTCTTGATGCCCTAGCTGTAGAAAAATGTCCAGAGGTTTGCAATTAAAAAATCATTTGTTTCAAATAATATAGAAAGCTTTAGAGCGGTATTGATTCAAAATGATTTTACTTATAAAAAGATGATTTTGACATATGGAGTTGGTACCTTACCTTGTCTGAAACCGTCCTAGGTGTTGTGTTTGAGCCCCTGAGAAGGAAAGTATCAACCTGAAGAACAAAACCTCTTTAAATAAGCCACCAGTTAACACCTCATCCCTTAACTTGCTCCCTCATCAGAGACCTCATTGTTAATCAATAACACAAAGCCTTAAACTAATGATGCATGCGTTTGGAAAACAAATTGTATATTAGGTGATGAATGATGTGTGTTCTCAACCATCTATTTTTCACCTGATTTGGGGCTGGATAAAGTATCCAAGATGAAGAGGACTGTTTTGTAGGATTAATGATGCTTGTCTCTTGAGGTTCTTCTGTATTCCTGTGTAAAAAAGTAGGAGAAATCTGACACCTAGTGGTAAATGTTGGAAGAAAAGTACCGATTTTGCACTGTCTCTGTCGTCCGCTCACACTGTGGTTTTTGAATAAGTTAAAGCCAAGGTATTAAATGATCATTCCTTGCATGAGATAGGTCAGTGGAAGTATGGCAAACATGTGCGATGTACAGTGCGTGACTTTTGCAGAATGTTCAGATGCGTAGGCCCCATGATGTGATTGAAAATGAACCATAGAGAATTTCTGAGATCCACCTTAACACACACGTACACACATTTACTTACACACCCCACTACCCACAGACAATGTCCTCCTCACCATGGGAGAAGGCCGTGATGGCCTGAATAACAGGGTAATTGTTAACAATTAGTGGATTCTGTCACATCAGCAGTGCTCTCACCCGAATCTGCTGACCTCAGACTTGCATCCATGAACTCAGGGCAGCAGAACATGAATGACCAACTAGACTAGAGTTGTTACTTTGTAAACTGCTGGGTGCCAGGGAGAGATAACAGCTCTGTTGTGTTGCAGGCAGCTGGACTCTTGAGCAGCGAAAAGAGACGCAGAGACACTCGTTCACATATGGAATATGTTATCACTTATACACATGGATAAATCTCTGGCACGACTCCAGATATTTTGGGTAAGCCCCCCCTCACTCCCTGTGATGCTGCTAATTCCCTCTCCAGATGTGCAAGCACCAGGGATGTTGCTGCTCAGCCTGGAGTTAAAGAGGTCACCGGGTCATCGTACAACTACCTGCCACTCAAAAACACCTCACTCAATGAGCTGGAGCCTGCAGGTGCACACTGTGGGTCCTCTCTCTTCGGTTTATGATCATAGTTATATTGCATAACGTTACACTGAGGGATGCATGTGATGCTTTAAGTTGAATTGCATTCTTTCTTTGAAATAAAGGTAATCTGCCAACTCATTATTCACGGCTATTGCAGGGGGACATCCACATGCTGTACATGTCTGAATTTGAAGATTATTTTTGATCACTGTTATTATTAGTAATGTCTTGGCTTTGTAACATGATGTAACTGTAGCAATAATTCATGCCCTTCATTATCACAATTGAATTGTATTTACACCGTCTATGGCATACTATACAGAAATAAATAAAGTGGATTGGATACTGTTATCAATTTGACAAAAGGTATAATGAAATGTTTAGCTCAACAAGGAACATCACATTTTGGCATTTTTGTCTAAGAAGTCTATCACATAAAACTCAACCCTTAACTGAAGCAGCATATGTTGCCAGATTAGTGCAAAGGTAACAGTAGGAAGAAGAAATACTGAAATGTTAATGTTCCAACCACCTTCTCATACAATTCACTCACTCCCCTTACCTGCTCTACTCACATAGAGCTCGTTCGATCATTAGTCCCTCAGTAAAGCTTATCCCCTTAACTAATGAAAGATGGCATTACTTTAATCTGATTCTGTTTGAACACACTGAAGTAAAGTCATTTCTCATTCGGTCACTTGGTCCCTGCCAACTTGTATTGTGTGTTTTTTTTCATCAAGCTCTGCAGCATTTCCTGTTCTGTTTTGATCTGACCCCTTTTGACTGTGTTTGGATCTTATCCTCAAATGTGGATAATTGAACATGTCTAAAAACTGTAAGCCAAAGTAAACTGAACTTTCCCTGTGACATGAATGTGTCATCACCTTTGGGCCAGTGTCACGGACCAGACTGGTTCAAAACGGGAAATCTCCAAATTGCCGTTATGGTTTTCTCCTCCGAACATCTGAATTTGAATTTGTGTTGTTCCTGGTTTAGGTACAAACTAATTCTTACACATAAACACTAAAGCAGATGTCCAAAAGCATTTTTACAAACATGTTTAAACCCCTCTCAGCTCTCACTCCACTTTTTCATTACATTAAGAAATTAGATAGTCAATGCTGCTTTTTGAACCTGCAGTCATCAGTACAGCATCCATTTTTAATGATGTGAATAAGTGCAGAGTAATGACGGCTTCACTCAACAGCATCAATTTATTGTCAATACACATTCAGTTGGTATGTATACGACACTCAAAGTACAATGAAACAGCATTATCACAGGTTTTACAAGCAAGTGTTTCAGTGTGCGTGAGTTTGTGTGTGAGTTCGAATAACCATTTTTAGTTTAGTTTCATTCAATCAATCAAATTCATTGCTTGGGTGTTTTATAATTTAGTTCACTGTTCTTTTTCACAATGTTGTACGTTTGTCTGTGTACATATGATAATGTTTATGAATGTTATGTTTATCTTGATGGTTATGTCCTTCCATTTCTCACTTCAGCTCTTCTGTGGAGGATGACGGCGTGTCAGAGCCGTCAGGACACTCCTGAAAAACATGTGAAAGAAAATACATTTTCAAGTATGGATTCCTGGGTTTTAAAAAGTGAAATACAAATAAATACGTAACAGCATTTGTATGTGCACAGCTCACCTTCACTTTCTCCAGCTCTGGTCTGCCTGGGAGGGACTTTTGTGAGGAAAAGGCCTGTGAGGTGAGACAGGTTAATCACATTATATCTGATGGGTATAAGTAATCTGAAAGTGTGAATGTAAATAAAATGAGAACAAGGATTGAAAGATGTTTGAATGTCAGATTTGTTCTTCTCACCTTCCTCGTCTGTTGCATCTCCTCTGTGGATTTTGACCTGTTTTTCATGTGCTTCTGAGGGGAGGTGGTGCTGGGACACTAGAAAGGAAGTCATATTAGACACGGCCGAGTGACTCAAAACAATGTGTCTATCAGGCTTTCACACACCTCGTTTGACTTCTGTTCCATGGCTGGCTCTAGATTTCTTCAGCAAAAGATCTGTGCTGGTTTAGAATAAGATGATATCTTTTGAATACCTTGGTTGTGCAACTGTAAAGACAAGAGAAAGAAGAGGTACTTTACATATGGTTATATGCAACAACAATGGTTACAAGTAAGACAGTTTACAATAATGATTTAGTTTACTTGTTATAATCTGATCCAAAAGGCTTAACTGATCCCTGATTTTGCTATCCTGAGGGGCCGCATGAAAGATTATACGACAAATCTGCAGTTATGGCCTCTTATCACTAGATGGCGACTCAGAAACATACTGCTGCTCCCACTTCACTGATGTAAATATTTAGCTGGGAGACTTCCCTCAGGGGATTTACCACAGAGTTTACACTGTACCAATTGTTCACACACACTGTGCTGCTTCTCATTTTGCAAAAACAAAACATTACTGGGGTTTTTTCTGGATTAAATGTAGCCGTAAATTATTTATTTTCATATTACTGTCAATAATTCACATCACAGAAACAATGACTGCTATTAACATGTCTTTGATTTGTGACAATAATACGATTTAGATTAAGATAAAAGGCTAGTCGTCTAACAGTAGACCTGCTCCATTTTCTACTGGTAGGTACATTTAGACCCTTAAGAAAAAGGAACATTTTAAAAAAAATGAACACCTTAAAATAATCAACAAATGAAAGAATCTGAGATGCTATAATATGAGAATCTGAGAATGATTAGTTCTGGCTCCAATTAACAGTGATGCATATTAAAAGCTTGTATGAAACTTAATGTGTATAAGCAAAGGGAAGACAAAGAGTCCCAATTGGAAAGGGCAAAGAGCCAAAAATATATCGGCACCCTCACACAGTCGGAGTCATGCAGGACAAAAAAAACTCTGCACAGCTGAAAGGCCACAATGATTAGCAGCCCAGAGTCACAGTCAGATCCACAGCTGGTGTCAGGGGCCCCGGGGCCTCAGACAAAACACCTCTGGCTGTTGGTCCATCTGTAGTATGAGATAATTTCAGTGCTGCCATTCTGTGTCAAGTGCCTGTCTGACATCTGACCAGTTTGATCAGATCAATCAACATACTTTCCGGCATGTCTGAATTTTTACCGATTTCCTATCCGGCAAGAGGCTTGAGATGGTGGAGAAATGTGGTTCACTGATGAAGATTAAGATTAAACATAAATGTAAAGAGTACAAAAAGTAGTTAAAAAAAGGGTAGGTTTGAAGATTCATGCTTTACTTTGGAAAAAACAGTTAAACAGGTACAAGTTAAATAGGTCAAATGAATATCTTAAAAGATCAATTTACTTTTGTTTGACAAAGCTATACAGTATCTTGTTGCATTTGTAGGGAAAGTGCATCACCGCTGAGCTACATTTACCTTATGCAAACCTCAAGAATATCGTTAAATTATTTAGTTTGAAAAAATAAAAATAAATGTATTTTTGGCCTAGTGTTGTTATGTTAAATGTTTATTTACATGTTTTTAAATTGCCTAATATGGCTAAGAAACCTGAAAGTTAAAGTCCAGAAAAGGTGGGTACAACTCTTTTATTTATATCTATGAAGCTATGAATTATTCATAACTAAATAAGCCAATGAGTCAACAACAAAATATCTGTGTATTATGTATTGGTTTTCACAATAAAACTCACCCAATTACCTTGATCAGGATTGTGTGCACATGATTTGATCAGATGTTATTGACTGTTACCAAACAAACGTTTAAATTAAGGTAAAACGTTGATGCTGATTCGAGCATCACATCAACATCACTCTTACTGAGCCCCGCACACTTCAAAACAACGAGAAGTGCAGCCAGACTAAAGAAATGTGAAAATCTTTCAGGTGAAATAACCCAAAATATTTCTACTTTAGCAATAAACTCAGTTCCTGGGCCTTTGAATCATGATCTCTTCAACTAACTATGTGCTTTTTAATACCAATGATAACATACGTTTTTCATTGAAAGTGTGAATTTTCAAAAGAGTTATGAAGTTTCTGGTAAGACTATGACTTGCGAGAATGCAAATACTCCCTTTGAGTGTTTGGCCGCTGCTCTACGGGAAGCTCTCAGGGCTCATGAAGAATAAATGGCAGCTGATCGACAGGAGCTCACTCGCCCACTGTGAAGCCTGACGTCAGCACCACATTTGAGGCTGCAGGGAACTCCATTAGAAAGTCCCACTTCAACAGGAATTCATGTGATATTCAGAAGGCCTATCTGCTTTAGCTGAGTGATCTGTAACAGAGAGGACTGACCCAGTGGAGAGTTCAAGCTCCTTTGGTACATCAGCCCTATTATGCAACCACATGTCCGTTCATTATTGCACACCCTGGGGTATACAAGACTGTTTTACTCCATGCACTTTCTCTAAAATGTGCATTGCAGCCCTTTGAGGGATAGAGAAGAATAATTTCTGCCTTGGCGGTGAGTCCTGAGTGCTCTCTCTGACCAACACACTGAAGGAAATGACCTAAATGAAAATGATTTCCCTGACCCTGACCCTGTCGCTCTCTGTCCATCTTTGGTTGGACGAGGAATCTCTCTTTTGTAGACGAGGCAAATGGATGAATGACCGCGTTGGCTGCTGGTGGACGTGCATCTCCTCTGTAGCCGAGGTAAGAAAGCCCTGTGGCTATTAGAAACATTTCTCCATTGATTAATCCACATGAACAAGCTAACAACAGCGAAGATGACACATTCGAAAACATTACGCCTCTGTGTGGTATGCATGCAAAAAACGTGTACACGTGCAAATGCCCAAAATGCTCATACATTAATAAGTGGACATGGGCATACAAGCAAAGCTTGCCATTCACCTAAAAAGCTACTTCTTCTGCAAGGATGGGCAAATCAAATGCCTTGCAGTCTTTTATCGCCCTTTATATTATTCTGTCATGACTGAGACATTGAAAGAGGAAGAGGAGGAAACACCGGAGTTAGAAAAGTTATATATTATGGGTCTCAGATATATAAAAATATATAAAGAACACCTCTATGATGTGTTTTGCTCAAAATACCGAACAGATCATGCATTTTAGAAATCCCTCATATCCCTCTATTCCAGCCCTGTTGGAGAATGGCTGATTCTGGGTCCTTAGCTTTAAAAAAAAAAAGAGAAGGGTAAAAAAAAGGGGGGCGCGGAAGGGGGGGGGGAGCTAATGCCTGCTCAGAATTCTACAAGCTACAGCTAAATGCTGCCGTGATTAAATGCCCTACCATGTTCCAAACCACATCAAGGATTATTTCTGAAACAGTATGGAGCTCAAATGCTTTTTCTCTTGCGGGTTTACCACAAGGTGAGTTCCTTTTTTAATTTCCTGCTTCTTTACACATGCTCTCTCCAGTTAGCTCTGAGTGTTAGCATGCTTGCTAATGTAAACAAAGACCATATTACGTCCAAAACACGTCGTGCATTGTTTCTGATGATGCAAATCTGGATCAGCTCCATTGTTCCCCCGTTTGTGGAGATTTCGGTATGGAGGAAAAGAGAGATAGTTTTGTTTTCTGACACTTTGTGAGTTCCATGACACACATATTTATGTATAAAGGACATTAAAAAGTGCATTTTGTATGATAGGAGACCTTTAAGAAGAAAATCTGATTTGAATTTGTGACAATGATTGGCTCATATCTGTTGGGTCAACACTAATTAACTCGCCAACTGAGAAGCACTACATAAACTTTTTTCGCTTAATTTCCTACTTAAGAGTTTCATAGGAGCAGAAAGGATATCAAAACCTATGGTGAAGTTGTAACTACATTATCACTCCTTCAGTCTTCTAGAAAGGTAATTATGATGACAGCCTGCTGAGGACACATTCACTTTTGAAGAGGTGGACAACAACAATGACACACAATGATATATTTCATCATAGAATCATCTTTGAGTCAACTTAGGCCCATCATTTCAGTCCAGGTGGTGAAATTGAAGCCTGGCTTGACATTCCTGCCTCGCCACATGTGTGCTGTTGAACATGCTAATCAAAGGAGATCACATGCACATGATCTGTGTAATTAAAGAGGCCGTTACATGCATGCACACAGTGGTGTTTGGAGCAACGAGGTGAGCGTGTGGACAGCAGCTGCACCGGCACATTAAGAAAGCTCACATGGGCAAGGACATGATGTCCTGTAATTGATGATGATGGGTTTGTCTGCTCAGCAACACTCAGGTGTGACAAACACACACACAAACTCCAAGCTGGATGAATTCAGTCAGTACTCGACCAACACATCTGCTTCCAACCTGTGTCTCAGCTCGACCATGTGCCTAATAACTGAGTCAGTGATGAATCCGGTCGTTTCCATTATTAAGACACTGAGCCCAGAGCCTGTCCTTACTTCATCTTTCAGAGTACGGTAATGTGCAAGCATTGATCTGATGGATTGGTTTTGTTTTACACCACTTATGCATTCCTCTGCAGGACTCTCAAAAGGCACAGGGATCATTATTCAGAGCTCCCATTAGCAGAGGATTGAGTACACAAAATAAACACTTCCCAGATCTTCAAAACCTGTTTGTTATCTGTCGCAATGTCAGAAAGCAAGCAAATAGAAAAGAGATAGGAGAAAGCATTGCCGCAAAATGAGAGCTTTTCTATCAACGAGGAGATGAAGAGGTTTATCTCAAGACAGCATAAGACGTTTAATCAGGCACAGGAAGACAGACAGGAGGAGAGGATGAATGATGGGAGTGACAGAGAGAGAGAGAGAGATGGCAGGCAGCACAGCAACCACCCACAAAAATAATTTAAGTCAAATGCCTGGGGGAAATCCATACTCACCTCCTTTCCTTCCTTCTCTCAGTACAGACGTGCAGTGGAGTAAATGGCACTCCTCATCTCACTGCTGCTATGGTGTCTGTGAGAGCACACCCCTCTGCCCATTCAAAGCTCTGCCCATTCAAAGCCACACACACACACACACACACACACACACACACACACACACACACACACACACACACACACACACACACACACACACACACACACACACACACACACACACACACACACACCTAATTGTCTCAGGTTAATTACTTCAATCAATCTACAAGGTGTGAATGCGATGCTTTCCAGAACCAATACTGTTACAAACATCACGATATGCATGCTGGCATCATTCGTGTAGATGAATGCATCTATGACTCATCTAATTTGTTTTGTAACACATACAAAAAGCCAAATTCACCCCATAATAGTCCTCCCATGCATGCAGGCTCCTCGTGAGAAATCACCTTCCAGCAACAAGTCTGTAGAAAGATAAAGCAAATCATTGGCTACAAACCCTTAGTAAAGAGCCAATCGCAGCACTGCAATGATCCACCGTCACTCTGCAAAAATGACATAATTACATGACAGGGCAATTTAGAGGGAGGGTTCTGTACCATGATCAGCTGAATTCACCTGCTAATTTAACAAAAGCTTGTAACAATGGACACCTATGCAGACAGATACATATCAGACTTGTTTTACTGTCAGGCCACTGGGACAGCACGGTCTGGCTGAATCACAAATATAAAACCAAATCACGTAGCATTGTCAAGCCTGAAACTGACCTCCGTGATTCCTCAAAAATAAATTCCTCACATATGACCAAGAGCTCAAACCTGATGTCTATCCTTAAACAAACACAAACAGGATCATATCTCATCATAAAACACTTTAATTATTTTTCAAGCACCCTGTGGGATATCTTTTTTATGATTACATCATCTGATTAATTTCCTGAAATATCACATTACTAGTTCATGATCTGACCCTGAGATGTCGCAGGTGACAGGAGAACAGGACTTGACCAGGGCGTCATCACAGCAAACCAAAATACATTTAAGCACTGCAAACACACATTTGAAAATAGCAAATAAGCACACAAAATGAACATTTGTAATTACAAATATTAAAAACTCATCTTTGTGAAAACATTCAATAATCTTAAATCATATAAAGAAAACAGAACAATTGTGCAATACCATCATAACCCCTTCTGGACAGTCCTGAACAGAATCATGTTTTTGCCAACAGTTCATAGAGGCAATGTGACATTGTGAGAGATTAAATCAATGTGAAATGCAAAGTGTGGATCTATCTCCAGGGAAAGCTTCAGGATCAAATATTGAGCTAAAACTTATTTTCAAAACATTTTTCGAATACCTTAAACAATTAATAGCAAACATCCTTCCCATTAACATGTGTAGTGTTGTCAAACGACACTATAAAAGCTTGCCATGATCTTAATTCTTCTTTACATATTGCCTCAACAGGCCGATTATCAGTAGCAGAGATGGCAGAACACTGCTGTCTAAGAGCTTATTTGTAAACAATTATAAAAAGTGCATGACCATTCAACACTGTCTTTTGACGTGATTGGTCTGTTTATTTTGTGAGATATTTGTTGTAGTTTCCGATTGTGTCTTTGTCCTTTCCACACAAACACTAAAGTTGCTCAAACTTCTGTTTCCTTCAAGTCTTTGTCTTCAGATTCAGCAGAGTCGGGGGTTTCCTTCCCCGCTCCTGCTGACTTCGACGTCTCCTTGGAGTCGTCGGTGGAGGAGCTGGTTGAACTGGGTTGTTCTGGCTTTGTGTCTGGTCCTGGGTCAGACTCCTGCTTCAGGAATAGAGGGACCACCAGCTGCTCCTTCGTCAAAAGGCCTCGCTGGTCATCAACCCTGCAGCCCTGAGCCCTCGTCAGCATGTCCAGAAACCCTGAAACACAAAATATATCAAACAAATTCTTATATTTCTTTCAAATTCCATTTACATCAATGTGCTATCTGCACTGCTGAGTTGCCATACCATCCATTTCCCGGTTTTTACTGGTCTTGGTCTGCGTCTTGGCCCTGTCTGTTTGCAGCGATGATCGGGCCTCAACCCCACCTGCCTGGGACCAGAATACATTCCATCATTATCAACGTACAGAAAAAGGTTTCACAGGTTTTAGATCCTACTGAAGTTGTAGACTACAGATACCAGAAATCACACAATTAATAAACCTTTTTATCATAGATAAATGTTGAAGATTCCTAATAAAGATTGAGGTGTAACTATACAAACCGTCAAAGAAAGTTAACATTAAAGGTCACCTATAATTCAAGGTCCACTTTTTCATGTCTTTTATACATAAACATGTGTTCCCTCTGTGTGAAGAGACTCGGAAAGTTTCAGGAAAAAAGATTCTCTCTCTTTTTGTGCCGATCCATTTATAGAAAATCCTGTCTGAAAATGAGCTGATCAGATTTTGGCCACCTGTGATGTCAATGTTTTTTTGCTTGTGTAACCATTAGCCAATAACGAACCAAGGTAACCCCCCCCCCCACCTGAATCTCCTCCTAGAGCACCATTGTGTTTATTTAAACCAAATATCTCTCAGAGGGGCGTGGGGAGGTGCTCCTTATTTTCATCTAAAGCTACAGACACAGAATCAGCCATTTTGAAACAGGGCTGAAACAGAGGGGTTGATGGGATGCTGCAATGTATGATCCGTTTTTTTTGGAGCAAAACACTTCAGAGACATGTTTTGTATTGTTAAAAAAGAGTATGATAGGGGACCTTTAATATCCATACTATCAAATAAAAAATCTGCACAATGCTGACATGTTCTTGGTCATTATTATTTAAATATAAGGAAGCTTGTCAACAAGGTTGTGTTGAAAGTCCTTCCCTTGTTCATGCTTAGCTGTGGCCTTTCAATTATAACCTTCATCATATTTTCTTTATATATTGAACAAGAGCATCTCAGCAGCTTGCCTTGTACACATGGTGTGTGTTGACGTTTAGCAGTCTATAAAAAATAGCCTCACCTGTGTTGCTGCAGCAGAACTAGTGCCTTTTGAAAAAGTGGTCTGGTTTCCTGTTCAAACCACACAAAAGATACAATTCAGTGTCTTCTTCATTTTCTAACAGCAGAGAAGAAGTCAGTGGGATAATGATAATGCCACAGAACTTAACTTCCCCATTGTGTTAAACACTCTGACATAAGCCAAATAAAATATTCATGACAAGAATTCAACTGGTCCTCCTGGGATGTAACGGCTCTAAACGCAGGGACTGGAGCTGAGGCTGGGCGCACTGATCCAAAGTGAAGTTGGTTTTGGTCTCTTAGCAGTTGGGAAATGAAGTGAGTGAACTCAAAGTGACACAGCACTCGACAAACCAAATGGCCTTGGACGTTTCAACCCTACAGAAAAGAATGAAGACACAGAGAGCGACGCACAAAGAAAACGGAGTAGGGAAAAAAGGATCTTGCAGACAGTGGCACTGAAATGGACAGGGAAAATACTTTTTCCTCAAACGCAGCTAAGAGCAAGGGAGAGCAAAGAAATGCAGAAACACTTTCTAGAATGCATTAAGATACAATTACGTGAAAAGGGAGGCACAGCCAGGCTCAAGGCAGCAGAAGAGAACACAAAGCATCACAGATGTATCACCCATAGGACAACCAGTGGCTGGAGGGCTAAAATGTGCTTTTATTGGATTTGATTGAACTAATTTAATTTACTCGCTGGCCAAGGAGGTTTCTTTGAATTCTGTGGCTGCTTGTGCTGTTGGGCGAGCAGTGCAGTTATAATTAGATTACCTAAACATTATTGTCTGTCGTTCCCACTAAAGTAAAACATTGGTTTTAAAAAGGTCAAGCGTATTAACCTTTGGTTTTGTCAAGCCGAAGCGTCTTATTGGCCAGTCTGAACACGGTGCTGGTCATGTTCAAAGGCTCGTCGCTACCAACCTGAAAGAAACAGACAATGAGACATGTTGGACAGAAGCTGACAGTTTCACAGTATTGTGAGTGTGAAGAAAAAAGACCACAGGGAAAATGGTTCTTGATGCATAACAGAGAAAACACAGATTAATACATTACAAAAGATGCTATAATCCTCGTCACTTGTTGCACCAACAAAACAATGCAAGACTTTCAATTTCTCCGAAAGTGAAGGAAACAAATAATCAATAATTTATCAGAGAAATTACTCAAAACACTGGCTATATGTCATGGTCTCTGTCATACATCATTCAGACACTCACCATGGTGACCAGGGCTTCTTGCGTCTTGAGGTGGTGTTTCTGCAGCACTGCAGAGAGGGCGTCCTGCAGCGTCTTACTGGACTTCACCATGATCCCCACTGTCTTTCCAGTGAAGACAATCTCCAGCCTGAAACACGCATGCATGTCAATTACACAATACACAACAACCATGTAGAGGTAAAGCATCAGTCAAATCTAGTCTAGAAATATCTGCCACCCAATATTTTAGCAGGAAATCCAAATTTGAAATTGTATTCAATGCTTAAATAGTATTCTAATCTGCCTGGCGTGAAAACAGGGACTTCCCTGTAATAAAGTGAGAAGTGGCATGCTGTAGTGAGGATGGTGGTGTGAAAGGCTGCAAGGGTGACAGACACACACGAAAAAAAGGAAATGAAGGAAGTGGCACAGTTAACTCACGCAAACATGACCCGGAGCTCCAGAGAGACCTGCTGGTCTCTGAGCACGGAGCAGTCCTGATCCAGGGATAAGGGCTGCTGCAGAGAGGGAACAGTGTATCAGAGACTTCAGCATCAACTGGGACCATTTTAATGTACTTCTTTCATCTTCAAAATTAAAAGGAGGGAGTAAGAGGTTGGGAAGATGTCGGAACAGGAAGAACCATCTTTCTCATACAGCCTGTTGCAAAATATCTATACAGTGTGACATTTCTTTTTAACAGCTTCTTGATTTTGGGCTGTGGTTGGTGGTGTAGACGGCGCAGCTCCTGGCTCACCTTGTCCTTGCCATGAAGGTAGATAATGACATCTTTCAGCGGGAAGCCTCTCTTCTCACACAGGCTTGCCAGCATGTCTTTGATGGGTTGACCGTTACGTGTGGGGGCCAGGGAGGCACTGCCATCGGGTAGGTAGACGCAGCAGTAGCCCCCCTCCACCCCTATCCGACTCACACCACCCTGCTCTGGGGACCGGGGACTCGATCTGCCATTCTGCATTACAGATGGAGAAGAGAGGTAAAATCGTGAGAGACATAAATATACTTGAAGGCAATATCTGGGAACTTTATGGCAGTTGTTTTCTCTAAATCGGGAGAGATGACACTTGCAAGAATACAATTAGTTATTCATGTGTGCATATTGTCAAATGATTAGCCAATGCACTGACCTCTATCTGCCTGAAGAGGGAGCCAAGCTCCACCCCGCTGTTTGGCTTGACCGACAAATGGGACTCTTTCCGGGAGACTGAACCTTGGATGTGTGTACTATCTATTGTGAAAGGTGGAGAAAACGAACTAAGAGAGGGCCAGGGGAAGAATATAAGATGAAGTCACATAATATACACAAAGATATAAAAACAGGAGAAAACGAATTATCCAGAAGGAAAAAAGAAAGAGTTTTGCACTCCTAAGCAAAATAAATAAAGCGTGTCTAACAAAGACAGGTTTAGTAGCTTTTCTACACAGTCTCACAACACGGGAGAAAGGACCGGCATACGGTATAAATAAGCAATCAGTGTAACAGGACAGACATCGCAGCGCAGATGTGTGTTGGGAGTAGGAGAAGTCTAGTCGGAGAGAGGCCGAGGAACTGCACGGCTGCAGTTAAATATCCTCTCTTCTTCAGGTGGACCAATCAGCAGGTTGAAGGTAGGTAATCAGCTTAACGGGCACCACCTGTTGCTCACACAAACACACACACACACACACACACACACACACACACACTCATAGACACAGGAGGGAAAAATGTCCACACACATGACCTAACGACCCAGGGTCGTAACACATAGAAACACAACATCTGCCACTACCTTCCCAAGATCCTCTTTTCTGTTGTTGTTTTTCAGAGGCGCTCCTGCCAGCTGGAAAGCTGTTAGAGTCTGACTTCCTGTTCTGTTTAAGACAGTGAATAAAGAAACGCCATTAACACCAAAATGAAGACAACTGTCACTCGCATGTTTTTTTTTGCTGCCCCTCCGTCCATTTACTCCTGTCACTCTACCTTCTTGTCACTTAACGGGCTTCTGGTGGCTATGTCCTCCCACGATCCCGTGCGGGCCGTCTGTTTAGAGAGCTGAGATACAGATTTGCCTTCTACGCCTGACAAGGTGCAGCTCTGGTAGAGAGGAGAGCGCACAAAGCGCCTGTAGCTATCCATCTTCATCAGTTTGAATATCTGAAAAAAGGAGGGATAGTTGAACTAGCAGTCAAGCTGAGTCAACAAACTATTAATCACTGTATTGCTGAGCTAAATTGGAGTACAAACTACAAACATACCTGAGCTTGAGCCTTGTTAAACATATCAGGTGTGGGCTGTTCCAGGTCTTTCTCCTCTGTCTTAGCCGTGTCATCGATGTTGACTGAGTAGGGGGCGTTGTCCGACAGGTAGGTGTTGTAGATGGAGCGAGCTGCAGCCTTCAGCTGGGAAAACAACAGCTCCATCAGACTGAAAGCTCCTCAGCATTCAATATGAACTCTACTTTTGTTTAATTTAACTGGGAATTACCCCAATCAACAGTCAACAACCCTGTCAAGTTACAGTATGCACTTCCTGTAACTATAATAGAATATAACTGAGCAAACAATAGTATAAAAAGGAAAATATCTAAAAATAAAAAGAATAAAAAAAGATTGATGTACAGCAGCTTTATCCGTCACAAGGCCAACCCTAAACGTTTATTTTTTTACTGAATAGTTGAAAACAGCTAAGCTTGTTTACTTCCCTTCAAAAATATAGCATCCATGTTTCCCTGACTGTATTGTCTACAAATATAAGTCAGGAAACTTCTGTTGAGGAGTATTTATCACAAATGTATGAAAAGGGAGCTTACGCAGAGTAAACACACACCAACAAAATGAATGAGAGATGACAAGTAACATGCTTCACCATGTAAAGAGGTAATAAGTGCCATCATACCTCATCCAGAGAGCTGGCTGAGATCTTCCTGAATTTTTCACAAGCCTGCCAGAATAGAATGTTCTCCGCACTCACCTCGGACATCAAGAAGGACTGCAGATAAAGACACAAACACTGTGTATATTAACACATATGGCAAACCTTGAGATGTCGCGAGATGCCCTCCCGAACACAAAATAACGGCAAGTGTGTTGAGCATGTCTCACCGTGAACTGGCGGACTCCATAGGGATCCTCCAGCAGCTTCTCGAAGGACACGGCCCAGCTCAGCACGTTGTTGGCTTGGCCAGCCTCTCCACCCGGAGTCCCAGGAAGGCTGGAGCTACTGCCTCCACAGCCCCGCGCAGACATGTTCAACTCTAAAAACACATCCAGACACAAACACACCCATTTATCAGCACGAGCAGTATGACCAAGAACGAGACTCACATATTTTCATGCACAGACACGTTTCTTTTTGGGGGAACGCAAGATGTACGAGACTTTCAGCACGCCTGTTGGTGGTTCATGCTTACCTCCGTCTGACACTGCCTGGCTCTGTTAAGAGAGAGATAAAACAGGAACAACATTAGAAAAAAAACATCTGATAATATGCAAAACACCCTTATTTAGGCATCATGGATTCAGGTTACGTGGATAACGACCTTTGTAGAAGTTGAGAAATCCAACATTTACCTGATTTAATCATACAAATTAAAGAGGAATTTTATTTCAGTAACTCATCTCTTTCTGCAATTATAAGTAGAGGGCAGAACTACACAATTCTCTGATGACAGAAATGTGGACATTTTAATGTATTTAAATACTGAAAATGTATTCTAAAAGTTTTACAATGTGTGTAGCACAGTGTACTGGAAAACAGCATACCAGAAACAAGACACATGTTACAAAAGCACAGCGGCATGCATTTAGGAAGTGAAATGTGAAAACTAGTTGCATCTTTTTTTCTTAGATGTAACAATGTATTGAAATCAGTCAAGAAGATTTTCACAGGAAGTGGTTGTGACACTGATGACAAGATCTCTCATTCAGCTTTTAGAGATCATCTTCAGCTTCATCTTGTAAAAGTTCTTTCTGTTTCAATTTGAGCACTTTCACATTTCGGCACTGAACATGAATTCTGAAAACTTGTGGAACTCAAACATGTTCGCATGTTACTCAAAAACCAGGGTACCTAGATATTGATAAGACACCCAGTGAGGACTAAAAACATATATAATAGTTTTAACAGAAATTGAGGAAAATCCCGGATGATAAATTCAAAGAACGGTTCAACGAATGCTCCAAAAGCACTTTCCGTGTAGAGTTAACACTTTGTCGTTGGTCTGTGTTTCCCCTTACAGCTCTAAATGTATCCAGATGTGTTTGTCTATGTAGGTTGTTCCTGTTACAATCTATAGATTGCAATCTGCGGGTATAAAGTACAAAATAAAAACATTGTCACATTTAACAGTCACCCACACAACTTCACTGTTTAACTGACATCCCACTATGCCATTAATACACACAAAGCTTACTTGATTTAAGAAACTGTATTTCAAGGTTTTGTATCACTTAAAAGGTAGGGTAGGTAAGAATGGAGAAACCAGCTCGAGTGCGCTAGAATTTGAAAGTACAATCTGCCCCTTCCTTCAGACTTCCTTACAGAGCCCCTCCTCCAACACACACGAACGCTCACATGACCAATGAGGGCACGAGATAAGTTTGTGCACAGATGGAAGGCTGACAAGCAGGTAGGCCATCCAGTTATTTTAGCCGGGCCGGCTCAGATGATTGGTCGTGCTTTTTAAAGCACCACGGCTTCCACAGATGACTTAAATGTATTTATTGTCAAAGCATTTCATGTATTCATCGCTATCGGGATGTGAAGAGCATTCCATGGAATATAACAAAAAGTGTTTCTGAAGTGAATTACCTACCCTACCTTTAAGCTCTGGATTGGTTTTGAAAATCGTCTTTGAATGAGAATCAACTCTTTTTATATTATCTTTAGTCAAGGTTTAAATTGAAAGCCAATTCATGGAATAACCCTAAGGGATCAACATCAAACTGTTGACTCAGAGGTTCATTAAAGACATGTTTACTCTGCATCCAAGAGTTCCAGGTAAAACCATGGCATTTAGTCCACTCAGTTAAGTCAGTATTAACCAAGGTACCAAGGCCCATTCCTGGTGTAAAAATAGACGACTGAAAACTTTATAAAAACATGAAGAATTTATTGACAATATGTCCATTGTTTTTACTTGAAAAACGTCATATACTATTGTATGTGTGGGAATTTTAGTGCAGGCAAGAGAAAGCTTCTTTGTAATGCTTTGCTTCACAACAGCTGAAAAAGGAACAGCTCTTGATAATCTATACATTTGCCCATATAAGGTTGATATGGGCTGGCAGTTTCTGCAGGTGTTAGCTCCACTGTGGCTCCACCTCTTCACGTTGTTTTGCTCTACTGCTTAAACTCTGGCTTCAAAAACACACCATGTTGATGCCTACATAAACTTCTTGTTACAGTTGGCAACACACACTTCATCCACAGTGTAATACAAACCTAATATCAATTTATTATAAGCATGCTCAAGCACCTTTCATGTTCTCATTCACTGTAACAGAGCACAATATTTCAGGATTAGGATTCTCTGTGAATCACTTGAAACAGAGACAAGATATGCAACCACCCTATGTGAGGAAGGAGTCTGACGCACCACCATTTATAGAAACTATTGTAATCACACAAAATACAAAGCACAGAAAGACGCTTTCCACCAACATCCTGGTCTTATTAGCCACTGTGAAACACACCTGTATATATGTAATGTCTCGCACAGAGTTGAATGAAGCCAACTCAGCCTACACATAACAGATTGCTTTGGTTTTTGCTTCCGACTCGAGAAGGCCTGTTCTGTTTTCAGTAGCAACCAACTGCAAGCCACACAGCATGGCACTTTTAAGATAGCTTACACAAGAAACTGATGTTCTAAACGTAGGTATTCTGACCTGGACGACAGCTTGACAGTATGAGAAAGGTTAAACAGCAGAGTTTACCAAATTATTATAACACTTACTGATATTTAACCCATTTTACTCCAAATTATTTCCAACAGGGCACTTGTAAGTCCTCTACGTAAGAGCTGATAAAGCCTCTTTCTTTCTACAGAATAAAGAAACCAATGAAACAGATGCAGAACCAAACCGAACCAAGCAAGAGTTGCCAACTCACCATGTGGCCAACAGGAATCCCCAGAGAATTGCAGTTCTTCGCCATGGTGGCTCGGACACCGAAACACAAGTTGAAGTCTGTATGCGACGTGCACACTCTCAGGGAACACAGTTAAGTGCTCCACCCAAACATGATGCATAGTCTTCATACACACACACAAACTCATCACTTGGGTCTTCCTGTCACTTCCTGTCCGGAAGGGAAGTCTTGCCATAGCAACAAGCCACAAAAGAGGAAGTTTGGTTACTCTGATCAAACTGTTTTCAGCCTACGTCTTGATAAACCCTATGATGTGGGAACCCAGACGAGACGAACACACTCATTCTGCTTTTGTCACTTTGCGAGTCAATTGACGCAGCTTACAACAAATATTAAAAAATATTAAAAAAGATAACTTTTCAGTGCTACACCTCAAAACATATTCAAGCATTTGTTTCCTTTTACTTACAAGTCATTGAGATTTAGACCACACGGTAGAAAACACAAGGCCTCAATCTGTTATTTTAAAATGGTAATCCTGCAATGCAGGAACTCAGACTCAAGACATTACTAGACTTCTACAAGATGTTGGCAACATTTCAATATCACAACTCTCAATTATGAGCTATTATATTAACACAACATTTCACAATAACATTATACTTTTAAGAAAAGTGTATGAGCACATTTTAACGAGGTCTGGTACAAAGAGTAGACTAGGAGTTCATAATTATTTAGCAGCCACAGCAATCAAATTATTGTAAAAGGAGTCCAGGTAGAGTGTGCAAAAAGTGCAAATTTTACACTAATGTTTATATATTGCCAAATGCTGTAAATAACGCATTCAGTCTGGTTTACATACCTTCTTCTTTTCTGCCATGATGCCAGTGGTGCAAAGTTTTTCATATTTCTTGAACTGCTTTTGTGCAGCATCTTTTGCTAGGCGGGAGAACCTGCGATAAAGTCCTCTGACAGCGACCATCTTCAGGGAAACAGACACAAGAGCGATGGGCAAGACAAGAGAGCCGACAGCGCTGGAAGTCTGCAGGTCAGAGTTAATCAGCACAGCCGAGGGCCGCAGGTGTAGCACGGCAGTCATTAACAGTGCACCTTACCTGTACACCTAGCTTTCATGTGCGACAACAACTTACCTGTTTGCTTTAGCTAGGATATCAACGTTTTTGTGTGGCCATATGCGTAATGTTAAAACTCATAAGTGTCGAAAGTTGTTCGTAATAGCAACATTGAAACAATACTTTACTAGCAACGCAGTTTAGCCTAGACACAAATAGTAAAGGGAGACAGTGAAACCAAATAAGGAATACTTTTTAGAATGACAGAAAGCAAGGAGTTCAAAAGTTGCAGAAGAAATGTCATGGTGGTGGTAACTTACCTAAGTAAATACTATGCTGTAGCATGTTTAGCATAGTGGCTAACGTTACCCAGCCAGCCTGGCCTTGTGACCACCTGGTCCAGAGATTTGTAAATGTATCACACTCAAATGTTCAGTCAGTAACAGGAGCAATCTCCCCTCGGTTGTAATGTCACCTCACCTTCAACTGTATGCTTTATAAATATGATCTTACTTACAGTAGCCTATATGCAAACTGATTTCCAATTTGCATTTAATGTTACTGATTAACAACATCTTCAAAAGCATATTGTTAGCAGTAGGCCCATATATTGTGGTGGCTTTAAGAGGATGAGTGGCCTGGAAACGTGTTACTGTGAAGGCAGTAGCCAGTTTGTGTAACATGGTTAAATGATCCTTTTATTATGCTTGTATCGATTAAAGTAGTAGCATGTAACATTTAGAAACTTGAAAAAAAATAAGGTTTATTGGCAAGTAGCTTATGTTCCTCATACTTGCCAATTACGTCAATAAAGGTGTGTTGTTTGGTGCTTACATTAAACAAATTATTGGAAATAAAAATACAGGCAAAGTACTGCAAGTACTGAAATATAAATAAAACTTAAATATAGAAAGATAAGAAAAATACATACATTTTTTAATCATGTCAAATATTTAGGCTACAATATAACTAGTGTGTAGATTAGAAGTGCAGCTGATGCTGCAGAGTTTTGGTCACAGAGAGTGGATCCTGTATCCTGTCATAAACTGAATATGTGTAGAAATATTTGGCTGCTGCTGCCATTTAATTAAGGGAAATGAATAACGATTATTTTATGTAATAGTATTCACTTGGTTGACCAATTAATGTAATCAATTTAAAAACTACACAACAATGTAAAAGTAAGTTGAAAACAGGTTCAAGTTGATCTCAATGCTCACAAAGAAATCCTTGAATCAAAAACATTATAACTTCAGTTGGAGTCAGGATGAGCACACAATCCAGATTGATATTACCCAAAACCTGCTACCCTTAGGATACAATACTGTTGACCTTCATCACTGGGTGGTTTTCAAACTGTGGGGTGCGACCCCTGGTGGGTCGCGGAGGTACTGCATGGGGGGCGAGGGAAGATTTTTTTATTTTATTATTTTCTCCTTTTAGCTTTGTGAAGCACCTTGAGATTACGTTGTTTTTAAAGTGTGCTATATAAATCAAATGTATTATTATTATTATTCAATTGTAATCAAGCACTGCTCGAAAATATCTCATTGGTCAGAGAGCTGTGGGCATAATGCTGCCTTTTGCAACATCCTACTTGTGTGAGATAGGCTTTTCTGCTGTTGCTGCCATCAAAACGAAATGCAGATCAAAGCTGAACATTGAGAATGAACTGAGAGTGGCAGTCTCAAAACAACAGCCCCGGTTTGAGAAGATCTGCAAGGGAAAGTAAGCACGCACAAGTAATTGATAAGCTATGTGTGGAATATAAATGGTAAAGTGATGTGATCGTTTGCAACTTGCAGTAGAAATAGTAAGTTACTTAATATATTTTCAGTATGCAGTAATGCAGCTGAACCACATTAATAAACAATGCACCACAGCACTCTGGAGAAAGGTATAAGGTTGGAGAAGTAGTTATTTAATTGAATATGGCTTCGTATAATTCAAAACCACCCGACGCAGTCCTCTATTGATGTTGTTGTGAGCGGTGTTGCGGAGAAAATCAGCGACGTAAAACGCTGTGTGGGTCATAAGGCACGTAAATGGTTACGTCATGACGCAAACGATGACGCAATAATTCACCTTTGAACCTAATTGAGCTTTGAACCTGCATCTGTAACATACTCCTTTATACTTGTATCAAAACTGACTTTAAATAGTTTATTTAGTTTGGGTAAAGTGACTCGACACTACCCCAAACAAGTTGAAAATTTTATACAAACTTACATATATGTGTCACTATCTACAAATTCCCTGAAATCTGCAAATATTATTTATGTATAAGAGCGAGAGAGAGGAGAGAAATTTTAGAAAATTATGTTAGATGCATAACCCAGTAAACATAATTACACCCTGGCCATCCTCTCCCACTGCTCGTATTTAAAAGTGAATGGAAAAAATAAAGGGTTAAATGTTGAAAACCGTACTTCTTACAAAGAGACAACAGGTGCCAAAGTATTTTCGTATTTTGTTGCGTAGTCTTCTGCCACGTCTCAGAGACAAATGTCATCAGGGAGCAAGAAATAATTGTAGGGTACATCAGTGCACAATCCTTGTGACAATCAAAGGTATCAAAGTCGGTGTCGGTCGTCCTGCGCGTGTTAACCTGCAGGCGACACCGCGTAGTATTTGTCCATCCTATCCTTTCGCGTAAGCCTAAAGAGATTTTCATGGCGGTCAGAGAAGAAGGATTCCAGGAAAACCTTAAAGGGATAGTTTGATAGGGGAATTGGCCCTGCAAAAGTGGAGTCTCCAGTTCCTTATCCTCTTCCCAATCTTGAATGCCTCCGACTAAAAATTTGATAGGCCTGTTGTTGGCCCCGGGAGTCAG